GTTGGCTCAACCACACCCTGGCAGTCCGCTGCATAGGGATGGTGACTCCTCTACCACCATGAGTCCCCTTTCTTCCTCATCTCCCGTAAGTATTGCTGCAATTTGTGAATTTCAGTGCCCTTTTTCTTGAGGGACATAGATGCTTTTGGGGGAGGGGGAGGGAGCGCTCCCACAGCCATACCCTTTGCTTTGCACAGTGTACGTTCCATAGTGATTAGACAGGACTGGGGGTCACCAGGAAGAAGACTAGGGGTGGGGCCTGGGGTAGAAAGTGAAAAGGAGAAAGATGATGAGGTAGAACACTTTCAACTACATTTCCTCCAGCCATCCCTCAGGACGTCTGACCTGATCCCATCTCATGGCCACCTCTCTAGCTCCTTGACTTTCAGGAGACTACTGGAATTGGTGTTTATGATGTCAGTCCTGCATCTATATTTTCCCAACACCTTCTTGTTGGCATGCTTGATGTGCTTTTGTTGTTCTCTTCACAATTGAGGTGACTACAACCCATATCAAAGAGGCAGGATGGACAAACTTCTTACTCTTGCCTATTTGCCATGGTTCCTGGCTGTACAAACCACTTGGAAAAATTTCAAAAGGACCATGTGCCAGCCGCAGGGAAAGAGGGAAATGGAATGGTCTTTGAGACATTCTGCATTGGGAATCCGAGTCTGGGCTTTAGTCCCAACTCTACCATCTACAAGCTATTGACTTTGAATGTCAGTAATGTCAAAAGCAATTGCCAGCATTGAACACCTTCTTTGTGTCAGCATGGAGCAAGATGACTTATGTACGTTATCTGATGCCTCTAAGTTTCAATTTTCTGAGAATATTATGTTCAGAAATTACCTCACAGGTCTATTATGAGAACCACATGAAAAAACCAAGTTAGAAAAGGATTTCTAAACTAGAAAGTCTTCTATAAATATGTTATAATGACTTGAGTTAAAATTTTTCCTTTCAGATTTCAGTTGAAAAGTTTCAACCTAAATGAAATTTAAAAGCTTCTACTTTCTTCCACTGTAGACATGTGAACAGTCCAGTCAAGTCTGTCCTTATAAGAAAGGTTGGAATTGGTATGATTTGCTATATGGGTAGATGATAGAGGCAAAATCTTGGTGCAATTGACACAGTAGAAAAGAAACCCTGCAGTAGAGTAATAAGAAAAATTATTTAAAGTTTTTTCCACTTTTTTCAGTATTGTTTAATTCAGTACCTTGTCTTAATTCACTCTTTGGTCTGTGTAAAACGTAGGTCTACTGATCTCATTTTTGCCTTAACTGACCAGCCAATCCTATAAAACCTTTCTTTTTTCCCATTCAATCAAGAATTGGTTAAACTGTTCATTTGTTGCTTTCACATTTTCTGTATTTAGCCCAAGATTTCATAAAGTAACAGAAATAGTTACAAGAATATTCAGTGAGCACTTAGGTGTGCCAGATCCTATGCTTTATTTCTCACAGCACCTTTATTAAAAAAAATCCTCTTATTACTCCCACTTCATAGATAATGCAACTACAGCTCAGAAAGCTAAATAACTTGTCGAGTGTTAAACTGCCAGTAGTGGTAGAGTGGGATTCAAACCCTAGTAAACAACCCACTTTGGTCCCAATTAGCCCAATTAACTAGCCATGTCCAGCAAATGTAGTTAAACATTTGAATTACCTGGGATGATCTCATTATATAATTTTGGTCTCCTCAGACATAGGTCAAATTACTTTGAGATAGACCATCTAAGTGTTTAAAGTTATTTTAATGGTAAGTAGGTTAAACAAATTTGAAATGCAAGACTTGTTTTTCCAGGCCATAGCTCCTTTGTAAATAATTCATTATTCATTCAGCAGCTACGTTCGGTGTTACCAGTCAGGGCATTGTGGGAGATAGAAATACAGAGCACAGTCTAGTGAGAGAGAAGCGTCCTGTTTGAAGGGTGTAAACAGACTGCTGTTGGCATTTAAAAAAGGGAAAGATGTGTCCTATCGGGGGTGGATCAGAAAAGACTTCCTAAAGTCCCTCCATCCAAAATGTTCTTTCCCGCAGACACCCGATGGCTCATTTCCTCATCTCTTCCAGGTTATGGCTCAAATGTTACCTACTTATCAGGCTTTCTCTGACAACCCCACTTAAAACTACTCCCCAGTATTCTTATCCTACTTCCCTGCTTTGCTTTTTCCATAGCACTTATCACCTATTGGCATATTACATGCTTACTTATTGGTACTCTCTCTCCCTAAATTAAAATGCAAGTTGTACAAGGGCAGGGCCTTTTGGCTGTTTTGACCAGTGAGGTAAATCTAGTCTAAGAACAATGCCTAATACAAAGTAGGGAAACACTATATGTTTGTTCAACAGATGGAGAAAATAAGACTTAAGCTTGGCCTGAATAATGGATAGCATTTAGCTGGGCATCGTTGGAAGGAAGAATTCCAGGTGAAGGAAATGATTTAAGCAAAGAATGGAGGCAGCAAATTACATAGTCTGTTTGAAGAGCTGTGTGCAGGTCAATTTGGTTAAAATACAGAAATGCAGTGGGACATCGTCTGGCGGGATCTATGTTATGTAGACCTGAGTGATTACATAATTTCATAGGCAGACGGAGCCCTTAAGATTAGGAGTCTTGAAATCTCCTTATTTAATATTTAGTAATTAAACAATCATTCCAGGTAATTCAAATGTAGGTAGGGGAGACCCAAGGTGTGTGGATCCTGAAGCTAATATAATTTTAGACCCTGGCGAAACAGCCCACTTTGATTCAATTAACTAGCCATTTTAGCAAATGTAGTTTGACATTTGAAAAAAAGAACATAAAGAAGAAAAAAATACATAGAAAAAGATGAATGCTAAAGTAGAAATGACCTCTGGCCTTGCCTCTTTTATGTAACTGCTGAGTTAGAGCAGTGCGTGGTAGGAGTCCTCCCAGCAGCCCTTCCTTCCCCCGGTAGCCACTAATAACCTAATTACACATGGAAGTGATTACAGGCTACATAAATATATTCTGCCAGACCCAACTTTCCTTAACGAAATCTCAGAAGTGCTTGTAGCCACTCAGATGCTGCTGAACAAGAAGAGATGGATGATGGCAGTGAAGTTGGAGACCCAGACTATGACTGGCAAATTGTGGCTGAAATATCAGTGATCATGGAAACTCATTTCTAGGACCTTGGAAGAAGACAGAACAAATGAGGGACCCTGAAGTTTTATTGGCTTCCTGGTTAAGCTGCCTCTGGAACTCTGTTAAAGGGAATACAATGAACTGGAAGGAAGATTAGGGGAGTTCTGTATATAGGTGATAAGGTGACGGTTGGCATGGGAGTTGGGAGAGGAGCATGTGAGGCAGGATACAAAGACACCATGGCCATTGAACCACAGGAAAGAAAGGTCAAAGGTGTCTGAAGTCTTACCTCAGGATACTAAGTAGTATCTGGGAGTGAACTGTTCTTAAAGCTGAGAATTTCTCTGTACATTAAGTGCTCTTTTGTTTTAGGTTTGAATACCCTACATTTATTAGATTACCAATGCTCAAATGATCACATCTTTGGCCAGTGAGAGTGTCTTTGGGGTGGCTTCCAGGTCTTCTGACATGACCTTTGTATTTTTTGGTAGCTTCCTTTCTTTCTGGTTAGATGAGATGTTCTAGGCTTATGTACTTGCTGTGCCCTACCTGGAACCTACCATTTCTCCAATAAGCACCAGGTTCTTTTAGTGAGAAACTGTGTTTTCAAGCCGTATCTGGTGCTAGGGATGCTCAGGCCACTGGCTCAATTTTTGTTTCTAGGCCTTGTCAGTGGACAGAATCCAAAAAGGTATATGTGTATGTATACATGTGCAGGTCAATTTGGTTAAAATACAGAAATGCAGTGTATATATATACATACACACATATATTTTGCATCTTATGCCCAGTAGATTTTTTTTTACATTTCTAGAAGAAACTGCTCACTGTTTTAAATTCGCTCTATCATCCTTTAAGCAATGAAAGCGGTAAGCTTTTAAATGGGGTCTTTGTGACATGAATTAGTGCAGCTTCCCCAGGCAACTTATTTATAAAGAGAAATAAACTTAAATACCAGAAGAATTTGGTTGACAAATTAGTAGTTCAGTAAGTGGAAACTCAGCTTTAGCATTTTTGAGCTGTTAGGCTTTAGAATATAAAATGACCATGCTGCATTAGAATGACCTTTCTGAAGTTTGCAATGTTTTTATTAGAGAAAGCACTGAATAGCCAGTAATGTTGGTTTTAATTCCACAGCCACAATGACAACTATAGTTTATTTATGATGACCTTGTGGCATATAAAGAAAATTTCTCATGCTTTAATGATTTACTATAAAATTGAAAATATAATTATACAGAAGAGAAAATTTTAAAAAATCCTATTCAATTGTGAAAATCCTTCAGCTGACTTTGCTTTTGAGGAAAAGTATACTTAAAAAAAAAAAAACTAAGTTTGGGTTATATAGAACTTAAGATCCAAAAGTCTCCTCCATCCCCAACATAAACTGTAGATATCAATGCATAACTTTGGTGATTCACCCTCAAATAGATTTTGTTTACTTATATTTGAAATGCACCTTTAATTTAACAGTATTACTAAAAACTGTTAAATATCTAATAAAGAAGTCTTAGTGATAACACTATTTTCATGTCATGGGTAAATTTTGGTTAAAAAAAAACCCCACAAAAAACTCAAAATGGTCATAGGCATTGCCTTTTACAAGAGAAGCAAAAGAAAAAAAAATTCAGCTTTCAGTGCTGTAGAACTAATGATTTCTACTCTGGGTATGAAACAGGAAAATAGATTTCCTCTTTTATGTTAATTCCAATAAATTGAGAGCGGCTTCTGGAGCACTGTGTTGGGATGGATTCTGAGACTGCTTCCAGTCTCCGTGGGAAGGAAGCTGTGATCAATAAGGAATGGGGAGTTGCAGCATGTGTGCGATGCATTTGGTATCCACGATGAAACAGCATTTTAAAAAACCCAGTAAACATCGCAGTCTTACCAGATAAGCCACCCACGTCCATCTTCTTCAGGTTCTTTGCCTCCAGAATGACAACAGTCAGCTTGCCGGCAGTCGGTACGTAGCGAAGGGAGAAGCAAATATCACCCAATTTCTCTTGCTGTGAAAACCAATAAGAAACTATAGGTAACTTTTCGAATAAAGGTGAATATAGTTTTTACAGATACACTGCAAATTCCTCAGGAAGAGGATTAAAATTTCACAATTAGAATGTGAAAGCTCTTAGGTTCATTGGTGTTTACCCAGTGGTCTTTCATTGACTGATGTATGAAGAGTGATTGTAACCCATTTCGGTTTTAAATAGCTCATCTATACTTAATCATTAATCAAAATATATCCATAATTCAACAGTTCAGGAAACGAGACCGAGATGACTTTTTTAGAAACTCTACTCTGAATAGCACTGCAACGTTCTTGGCAAAATTTCATAACTTTATCAAATAGCTTTGAAAAGAGCCTAACCCTCCTTTAGTAGAATCAACCTACCTAAATTTTTGTCTTTTTACATTTCAAATAAGATTATGACTAATACTTCATATTTAGATTTTTGGGAGAAGGACTTGTATTTGCATTAGATTGAATTTTTTAAATAATTTTTTTAAGATTCAGCTCTTTTATTTACTTTTAAGTAAGCTCTACACCCAACGTGGGGCTTGAACTCACAACCCTGAGATCAAGAGGCGCATGCTCTACCAGCTGAGCTGGCTGGGTGCCCCGGACTGAATTGTTAATGAGAAATTCTGAATCCTTAGTAGCCAAAAGGCAACAAGAAGTCTTTGCCATTTCAGTTTTACTCAAGTGAGATCCAACTTTTTCCCCTTATTCTAATATTTGTACAAATCTAAGCAGTAGGTTGGAAAATTGAAATATACAGTAATACAGCACATGTCCTAGCCCCTCCCGTTGTTTCACGGGTTTCCTATTTCAGGCCCAAGGAACATTCACCAATCCTGTATCTCTGGCATTTCTGAACATTTCATTCAGAGTTTAAAATTAATGTATAGAGACCTTTGACTTTTCTTCAGAAAGAACCATGGGTTCTCATACCTTAAGCGTCTTAATTTTTAGGATAACTAATTAAGAACCATGGTATTGTTTAACATGAGGAGAATTTGAATTCACATAAGCATGAGAGTGGGTGGGAGGCTGGTGGTATCTAGGTGGCTTTCTGATACAGGGAATTAGGGATGTGGCAAATTAGGGTTTATTTCTTAGGACATGCTCTCCCCTCACCCCCCAAAGTGAATTCTGATTCCAAAGATGATGGTTGTGTCAGACTTCCGCAGATAGGCTCAAGGTAAGAATAAGGTACAGAAAGCCTTCTCATGTTATGTTCTTATTAGAACTGTATTTGGCCTTATCTATAACTTCATGTATGTGTTAAATCAGCCTGAGTCTCCAGTGTGGAGATACTTGCCTAGATGTAATTGAACAATTTAAGGAAATACAATTCTTTTTACTGGGTACTGGTTCTAGCCATCTATAAAGGAAACAGTATGGGGCCCCTGGGTGGTGCTGTTGGTTAAGTGTCTGACTCTTGGTTTCGGCTCAGGTTGTGATCTCAGGGTCATGTGGTCCAGCCCCCTGCAGGGCTCCAAGCTCAGTGGGGAGTCTGCTTGGCACTCTCTCCCCCCGCTTCTGCCCCTCCACCACCCCACATGTGCGCGTGCCTGTTCTCTCTCAAATAAATCTTTTTTTAAAAAAATGGGTGTCTACTTGTTTTGATTTATCTATAGGTGAGAAGTAATCATTCTGTGTGTGTGTTGGTGGGGGGAGAGGGAGAGGTACAGATTTTCTGCTTAAGTAATGCTTTATTGAAAACATCACCATACGTGTTTATAACCCCCAGTTCTTTGATTCCTTGAGTCTTCCTAGCATCTTATCCGTATATCTCTTATGTCACTAAAGACTCCTATTTTTGTTTTATTGTGCACATGTCTCCATTTTCCAACATGACTCCTTGAAGCCTGGTCCTTGGCTGATTTATCACTTTCCATGCATCCTCAAAAAGTAAATAAATGAAAATTTTGGATAATATCCCTATCTTGAACTATCTAGGTCCTATCTCCCTTCCTTTAGTGTAGATAACAGTTACTTCTAATGTACTCAATTCACGCAAAGTGCCTACTTACCCCCTAGGAATTTGCACATGAGGAGAATCTAGTAGAATACATTCCTTTTCATAGTCTTTGAAAATACACAATGGGAATCAAGATCATAGAAATTAATAAAAGTGTGGACAGATTCATCTGAACCTTATAAATGTAAGTGAACAAAATTGCAGTTCAAGAATATTCACTGGGAGGAGGGTTCTTTTTGCAGGATTCTGTCTTTTTGCCACAATACCCTCCCTGGAGAACTCACTCTGTTGCAGAACCGGGTTACTCTAACTGTTCTAGTTAGGCATTTTAGATGACCTCTTTTAAATGGCCCCTCTCAATTGCCCACTGTCTAAATCTATAATTTAGGGCATCTCAATTGTTTTAAAGAAACATCATAACTTTCTTCTAATACTTTTTTATTATTCAATCCTGTGATATATAGGGAATTTTTGAGATATTGCATAATCTCTAGCTTCAGAAGGGTACAGTTATAGAGTTTGAACCTATAATGCCTCAGGTAGGAGAAATATGTGAAATTACCTGTAATTATAAAGCTATGGGATGGAGGAAGAATGAGTTGGGGGGGAGGGTGAATCGAAATGGATGTTTTAGGAGAAAGAAAAATATGGAAGAGTGCTTATTAACACCATTTTCAGATTTATATTTATTTATATTTAACTCCTTAATTTAGGAACTTGAATGTATAAAATTTCATATGCTTATTAAATTATAACTGATATGCCAAATTAAGCATATCTTTTTATACTAATCAGCTGAAGTAACTTTACAGTGTTTGAAAATCTTATGACTTCTGTATCTGTAAGCCATTTGAAAGCTAGTCACTATTCTGGAATTTGTGTTCTTTATGGCATCAAGCAGATAGAAACTCATTCTCTAGAAGAAGGCAAATATCCAATTCATATGAACCTTTATCTTAGTTATATTTTTTGAGTTGTCACTATGTGAGATATAAGTATATGCTTTTTCTAATTCTTTAAAAAAACAGCTTTAGTAATTTTCTAAAACAAAATTTCAGAATTGGGACAACTTCTGTTACCTGCTGGTTTGACTCTTGATTAGATTTAGGACATTTCCAAATAGGATTGCAATGTGTTTTTCATATGTGGTGAATGAGGTGGGAACCTGAAGTTCATGTGAAGCAAAGAAGACCTAGGATGTGCATCATGGGGAGGCTGTGAAGCCACCCTCAGAAGTACATGCCTGGTGCTTCTGCTGACCCCTCCTGAAGATGGGTTCTATTTGGCCACAGCTGAAACAAGGCTTAGGTCTGAGGCTTACTTCGTAAGTGTGCGTTCTTACTTCAGGATCTTAGATTGAGGGGCTCATACTAGTATGAGTTGTGGGACAACAAGTAGTTTCTTTTCCTCTATGAAATCTTTACTGAACTTCTATGATTAGATGGAGATGTACTCTTGTTCTGGGAGTCTTGTTCTCGCATACGAAAGTTTTACTCTATCTCTTGTCACTTACACAGAAGAATTGGAATTGTATGAGAGTTTTATGGACAGTTTCACATCAATCTCTTATTTCATAATTTTCACATGCCAAGCGTTTTTATATATCACTTTAAAGTTGGAGAAACCAAGATTTCTACATTAAAAAAGAGCTTTCTTTAGTGGGGTTATGGTGATGGGAAACAGCGGTGGTTCTTGGAAAACTTACAACATAGAAAGATGATCCTCCAATCTATATCTCAGCTCCTTACTTCTCCTTGACAATTCCGTCTTGTTTTCCCTACAACAGCCCTGTGAAGTAGGTACTGTTTTTCTCCTTTTACACATGAAGAGTTTGAGACTCAGAGGTTACATATGGTTACATAGCATCTCGGTGTGGACCTCTGCAAGGTCCTTTGACTCAAAATAATGAATTTTCTTTACTATCAGACCACCATCTGGAATGACAAACCAATACTCCAGCTGACCACCCACTTAGAGAGTCCGCTCTCACTTTACATTCATACTGTCTAACTAAATGGATGTTTATCACCAAATCTTCCCCTTGTCTGTTCTTTCCGACCTCCCTTTCAGTCAGGATCACTAAGTAATCGGTTTCCAGTGACCAACGTTCCTTCTGTTTTCCTTTAGTCCTTCAGCCCACAAGTCTTGACATTTCTTTCTTTGTCAGTGTCTCTCAAATTTTTAAAATTTTTTTTAAATTTTACTTAATTTTCCCCTGTCCTTATCAACATGTCCTCTACCCTCCTCTCTTCTCCCTCCAATATGACCTCCAACTCTACTGTGATGTTTGCCACTGTCACCATCACTATCACCACCGCCATCCCTTCTGCCTTCATTCTGTTTGAGATCAAGCTCTAAACACTTCTGTCATCTTTTTCCTGCAGCAGTCTGATGAACGATCTCACGAATCATAGTCTCTCCAAAGTCCAGTGTAGACTGTATACATACTAAAGCCAGGCTAATCTTTGGAAGTCTAAACCCATTTTCCTGACTTTGAAGAAACTCTGTACTTTGTCTCTGCCCTATATAAATAGTCTTCTTCTACTTTACTATCTGTTCAACCTTCAGAATATATGTTGAATCTGACCTCACCTCCCTACTTAAAGGCCTTCACTCTAGTACAGGTATGGAGACCAACCCTGCTGATTTGCAAAAGACTATTGGTTTTAGCCCTAAACATCCTGTATGCCCTGAGAAACCTCAGTCCCAGGCAAACTGTAATGATGCATAACGTTAAGCCCAAGTTCTCATTGTTGACCTAGACCTCTACAGTGACCTCCTAATAGCCTCTCTGCTTCCACTCTTGCTCCTTTTTAGACTCTTTCTCACATACCAGGCAGAGGGGTCCTTTTTAAAATGGAAATCTGATCATGAGACAGTCCTACTTAAAGCCCTTCCATGCCTTCCCATTTGACTTCGAATGATCTGTATTCTTTAAACAAAAAAACCTATGTGGTCTGACCCTTTACCTACTACTGTGCTCCTGATCTTTCTCTTTTCAAGACATGCCAGGCACACTT